AGCACGTTTTTAATATTTTGGTTATGTTTAAAGTTGGCATGCAAACCCCAACCACATAAAAAGTGAAGAGTGTTCTAATGAAGCGCTTAATAATTGCCTTCCATTAAGTTCAGATAAAAGCAGAAAAATCTCCAGTCATCTGGATGAAGGAAATATGACTTGAATCAGTTGGTTGACTTTCATCGCAGTGGCTGATATCTAATATAACAATGTATTTCACCTTTGGCGTTCTATTTGACCCTCAGTTCTCCTTTGATTTGGCCCGGTCCAATTTTCTGCAGCTCTGCAATATCATTCACCTCTATTTCTACCTCACCCCCAATAATTCAAAAGATCCAGCTCATTCAAAACGCTGCCGCCCGCATACTGACCCAGACCAAACTCCGTACCCACATCTCATTAGTCCTGGTCAGGCTTCACTGACGCCCCATCACCGAACGGATCGACTTCAAGAACCTCAATCTCGTGTTCAAATCCATTCACTCCCTGGCACCTCCCTAGCTCTCTAACCTCCTCACTCCCCAATTGGTGTCTCCACTCGACTGGCACCAGCCTCCTGCTCGTCTCTTGCACCCTCTGCCCCACTATTGGAGGTCGCTCTTTGAGCCACTACGCCCCAAAACTCTGGAACACTCTCCCTTAATTCCTCCGCCTTGCCCCCTTTCTCCCGTTTTTCAAGTCCTGCCTGAAAACTTTCCTCTTACGTCCATGCTTACGGCTCCCTCCCCCCGGCTCGCAGTCAGGCTCCGCCACTGTTAAGCACTCTGAGATGCTACCCTGCATCAAAGGCGCTATATAAGTGCAAGTTATTGTTGTTTTACATCATTTGGGGATGTTGAGTACTCCTCCCCCAAAATCGTTTATTTTGTTTGGCCTATAAAACTGCTTAAAAAGTTCAGTCACTTGAAGACTGCTTGAAAAGCATAGCACTATGATGACTAGCACTTTATTTGTTCAACTCCAAATCCATACGGTCCTGAAACTGATATCTTATCTACTGTGTACGTAGCTTAAAATTCCAGTGAGCATTACACACATTGCCTTTGGCAATGTTGGCCACTGATGGGATTTCCCATTCTAATCACTTAGTGCCAAAGATGTTGCATATAATTTTATGTTCACCAAAATTTTGCTTAGTGAGCACGGAAATGCTGCTGGCATTTACCTGGCTGGGAAGCATGATATTGTATCCAATTCACTATGAGCTTTTCAGAGCAACATATAGAGCTGTATTCTCACCTAAATTCCTGCAACACAAAACAGTAGCCAACCGGCAACAGGGCAGTTAAAAGTATGATGTCTATAACATCTCATAGAATGTTTATTGAAAGAGAAATACTGTACTGGACGTTTAAAGGCCATGTGAGGCGTATAATTATTCTTCTGTCATTTGTTTACCTTATTGCTTTAAACCAAGAATTGTAGCAATCAGTATTGAAATGGTGCCCAGAGATTTTAGCATGCCAAAAATGTGCATTTCTAAATGGTTGCTCTTGAAATAATAAGCAATGTGGTCAGATTCTACCACAGTAGTTCTGAAACCAATTACTGTAGATGTAACTGTTTTGAACATTCCAAGTACATGCTCATTTGATTGAGGATTCGATAACACTTTTGTGATATAGTTTGGCAGATCAGTGCTGTTAAGATTAGCAGTATAATAATAATCCATGCATTTGATATAGCACCTTATCACATTGTTGTAACGTCTCAAAGAGCTTTCAGATTTCACTGAAAAGTGTGGTTACTATGTGTAAGTGAACACAGCAGCTAATTTGTGCAAATCAATGTCCCACAAACAGCCACAAAGTGAGACATCAATTTTATTTGGGGGATTGTTACTTTGGACCAGGAGCAACTTTCTTCCCTTTTTGAATAATGAGGTGTTAAACTGAGGTGCCGTCTGCCTATTCAGGTGGACGTTAAGGATTCCCTTGAATCCTTAACGTTCACCTGAATAGGCAGACGGCACCTCAGTTTAACACCTCATCCAATGAATATTTGTGTAATATACTCATTCCTTCTAGTTAAATTTCACTTATTTTGCCCTTAAATCAAGAGATAAATAGGAGGATGGCACGTCATGATTCATCCACAAGGCAAATTCCAGTCCTAACAACACCGTGAGAGTAACATGCTAAAAAGTAGCTGTTTCCCAGAGGTAAAATCAGAAGGGATTCTCATACGCTATGGCAATCAGATTACATTTCAGATGTTTGGGAAAAGGGTATTTGGCCAAGGTGTGGCTTAGGGATTTCTGAAATGCAGAGAAGGGAGGAGACAAAAATAATTTTGTATAGATATAAATGGGATATATTTTTTCTACACAATTTGTTTGATTAGACCTGCTAATTGACAGAAAAGGTATCAACTTGTTACTGAGCCTATCTTTTGCCGAACTTGTGCTGCTGTTTGAGGAGGCATGCGATGGGATTTCATTTCCAGCAGCCTAAAATCAGCATAAAGTCTATGGGTGGAAAGTAAACAAATTTTTAAATGTTAAATATGTTTTAAGAAAACGTGTGCTTCTGAAATTAGTGTTCTTTAAAAATAAATTACCAACCTATCCAGCACTGCTTGTTTCTTTTTAATAAAATGGTCCTGTCATTGAAACTATACACCGTATGTATACAAATGTTGTGTTGTATGAACAAGATAAGCATAGTTTCACTCCTATTCCACAGAAGTCTGCACATATTGTTAAGATAATTCAACAAGCTCTGAAAAATAATTCAAATCTTCAGTTTCCTAGCTGTGCAATTCACCGATTTGTTCGATCAACAGAAAAATACCATTTGAAGGTGTCAGCATGACATTAGTACATAGATCAGTACAGCATTGAATTTGCATTAAATCAGGAAATTGTGCAACTCCAGTAATTTCAAGTTCCCAAATATTTGATCAATTGATCAGTTATTCCTACTTTTGTTTCACATAATCTGGGACTAAAAGAAGGGCAGTTTAGCATCAATTATATTTGAATTGTGAATACTTGTCTCTTTCGCTGTTTGTTGCGTTCTTTTTCTGTCTCCTAGCTTGTCTACTTGCAGGATTCTTAATGCTCATGATGTAAATACATCCGTGCAGTGTTACATTTCCACCTCTGTTGCCCGATATTAATTCTTTCTCATCATTCGACTCTTATGATAACCTTGCTTATTTTGATCATGCCACCATCTAAATATTAACCCAAGTATCTGATTTTAAAACAATTACCAGATCCACTGCTTTCACGCTATATGCACACAAGATTAATGAAAGAACTGTATAGTTAGTGCGCTCATATACGTTCAACAACTTATTAGCCACTTTCTCAATTTATTTTATTATTTGCTTGGTCACAGTTGATTCAGAAAATTGTATCCACATCTATTTCCAGCAATTTTAATCCAGAAGAAAAATAAATTTGTTATTCTGGAATTGATCACTGGTGCCATTCCGCGAAAGGAATCATTTAATGTCATGTTCATTATTCAATGGATATTACGATCAGAATCTGCCTGTTTATACTTCAGCACTTTTAGCAAAATGTGTAATCTACAACAGACCCTCCTTATAGGTAAAGCATTAATCCAGCTGGTGATCAGACAAAGGTAAACCAGCATTTGTACATGAATAATAAAAATTAAGCGTAACTATTCTGGCATGGCAGCTGTAGAAGCAAAGCATTTGATTCATGTACAGGGATTTTAACCCTGGGCGATCATTCAACTGCTTCCCTGACCTCACCTTAGTGGGGGAGAAAAAGGAAATACTGGTAGGTCTCATCTTGCATTGTAGAAATGGACTTCCTGTCCATGGTTTTTGAAATGGCAGGCACCACGTCCAAGGAGAAAATTCCGTTAGATAAGTGTCTCCTGCCTGCAAAAAACTCCTGACAAGTATTGCCAAGTGAGTTTGACACAGCCTATGATTAAGACTGTTCCCTTCATCTTGGGTGAATGAGAAAGAATGGAGGCTTAAATTGTCCTTTGCAAAATCTCTCTTCTCTCTCTCTCTCTCTCTCTCTATATATATATAGATACATATTCTTCTGGTGCATCTTAAGTAATGTCAGAGATTGCAAGGTGGGTAGGTAGAATACCTTTGAACGAATAGCTGCCTGTGTTCTATAACTGGACACAAAATAAAACTGATGCCCTATGCAAGGAAAGGAGACACCATGTTATGTAAACATTTTGACTAAAGCAACCAATCAAAATTTTGCTTCAATATTTAAAAGTAACGAGGTAAAAGTTCAACACTTAATATTAAAGTGCAGAGACACACAATGGCCACAAGTTGAGCTGTAATTTGATTAGACTTTGTAATGTTTGGCTTCAGACGAAAGAGCAGTGAGCAATCTAAACTTGGACTGAGGGATCTCAGTTTTCGTCTCAAGCAGTAGAAAAGTTTATTTTCCTTTTAAGCAAAGCTATTCTTTTTGCCACTTTTCTGCAGTTCATTTATACTATTGCCCACATGTACTTATGTGGAATTTGTTCCTTCTTTGATTCAATGCCACAAGTATCTTGAACATTGAAACAACAAAGAAATACTAGAGTTTGTGCGGCAGTATTAAACAGGGTTGAACTGAAATAGCACAGTGATTCAAAGGTTTCTCAAACCTGCTTTTTAAATAAGATACTTCTACACATCAACCCTGTAGGATATTTTCAAGATTAATGTAATAGACATCTGTTTGCAGTCACTTTTAAACACCAACTATCTATCTTATAAAATAGATGAGATTTAAAAGATTTAAAACTAGTTTCTGTGAGATTTTCTTCATCTGGTTTCTGAATTTCAGTCAGCTATTATCAAGGAACTTTTGATCAGAGAGGGAATATACTGTACATTAGACAACATGGCAAGGTGGCAGCATAGCAGTCTGCCTCCACTTTATACTTCACCATGTGTGCAACTTCATTTCAAGCTGAAAAAGAAAATGCTAGTTAGTTTTAGCTTAAAATAACAAACTCAGCAAGAAGGGAAGTTCATTCTTCATGCAAAATACAAACCTGGTTCCTTGCCTTGTATGTGTGTTGCAATAAAGTTCCACAATCTGATGTAAAGTTTCCAAGTATTTGTACTGATGTTTTCGGGAATGTCACATGAATTTCTGAGGCAGTAAATGAACTCATGAAGCACTTAGTTCCATATTGTTACAGATCCAAGAGCATTGTCTTCTGAAAGTTCAGCCTATGTAGACAGTGCAACAAGTAAAGAAGGAATAATAACAATGCTGCACTCTGCCAAACTTGACTCCAGGTCTGCTTCCAGTTAATAAAAAGATCATGCGATTCTTTGCGTTTGCTGCGGATGTGGAGATGCTACTGTCTGACTTGCCTTTACTGCTTCAGAGCTGAACTCTGTTAGATGGTGGTGCAGTGGGAAGACACAGGATCTCAAAGTGAGGCAGACTGAAAGTCTCCTTAAAAACACAGCCACGAAGTTTGTGAGATCAGCCCACCTATGATGTCATGGTAGCTAGAGCTAATCAAGCTGGAGGTTTCCCCACTCCTTCTAGGATTTAATCCCAAATCCCAGTGAAAACAGATAGAAAAGGGATAAGGCTCTTATTGTTTACGGTCTCTATGAAGCAAAGGCGATGCACGTGAGTGTAGTTGGACCATCAAAATTAAAATACCTTCAATCAAATAAATCTGAATGCAGTAAAAATAAAGTCCAGTGTACAAAGTCTGTTGAAAGAGAATTTATGTATTTAATCTCCTGTGTACTTGGCTCAGTGTACACATTGCAAGTCTGGATTGAGTTGAGTGTCTGCAAAAGCAGCTCAATTATTGTGTATGAATATAAATACATAATGATTTTTCTAGCGACTAATTTTAATGTATTATAATAATAATAATCCTTGCATTTAATATAGCGCTTTTCACATCGTCTAGACAACTTAAAGCACTTCACAGAATAGACTGTAAAATGAATTGACTGTATATTTGTGGGCGAAAATGAATGTGTCCTGTTATCCAATGAATGTGCCCTGTTTATCACATTCTGTCATCCTTCAATTTTGACACCATCAGTTATCACCTTTGTAAAGCGATCTCACTAAAATCTGTTCTCTCCATGAGCGGGCCAATAATGGGTTGGGGAAAATGGAGGCTGTACCCCCAAAAGGATAAAATTGCTCCTTTGAAGTTGGCAGTACATACTTTTTTTTAAAAAAAAACATGCCTAGTGATTTTGAAGCTAAAATTTCACTGAGATTCAAATTCAGGTTATAAACTGCTTGAGCTTTAATCGCACATTTCGACGTCATTTAACCTCTTGAGATTTCCACCTTGAAATCACTCCTGGCTATTTACCATTCAATGTTATAATCTTTATTTCACTTACAAAGGCACAAGCATTTGACTGTTCAAATTGTGAAATAAAATAGCCGCCAGAACGGCTACTGAGCAGCATAGCATGGCTGTGGTGGGTGGTATGGGGGAAACAGCAGGTGGAACAGAGGGTTTCAGTCGTGAGTCTGCCTCCAATTCAACTGGAATGTGTTCAAATCAGCACTGGTATGAAACCAACCCTTGAGGTGGGTCTGGTTTACTTTGGCACAAACTCAGCATAGCAAATTGGCTGATTTTTCATTGCTGGGTGTCCACACCGATTTCGGATTTCTTCCAACCTCTGACAGTGTAAACGTAGTCTTAAGAGTTTGTGCATTCAAGAGGTGCCCATGCGTAGGTCAATGCATGAAACTGTTTCACTGGGTACTATTTTATTTATAGTTGTTCCTTCCTCCATTGGAATCAGGGATTTTTTTCCCCATGTTAATGGTGCATTTCAGTTTCTGAACACTAATTAATTCTCTTTTAAAAATAGTTCTGATCTTAAATTAGGTTCACAAATTAGTTTCTCATCAGACACTGGGCTCTTTCAAAAATGGTTGAAACATTTGACAGTTTGTTAGGTTTTAACCCAACTTCATCAGTGACTTTCTCCTGTCAGTAGCTGATTTCTGTTTACAAGCTGTCATTGGGAACTTCTCTGGGGATTTAGTCTTCAAAATGCAACTTTTGAGCCAGGACTAGTTCACAAAATAAAATTTGTTGAATTCAATTGTGATTAAATATCAATGAAATCAGTTGCATATTTCATTGCTTAGTAATCATGTTGAAACTGACGTCTTCTGAGGTGAACAATATAAGTTGCAACAGCTTCTCTTTTCTCTACAAGTATGCTTTTAAACCTGACTGTATAAATCTGGATAAAACACCTGCTTGTTCATCCCAGTTTATTGTAGATACCCTTTCAGTGTTTTGACAGTTTGATAAAGTGTCTAATTCCAAAATTGCATTACATTACAGTTTCTCCAAGTGACAACAACTAGAATGCACTTTCAACGTTTCTGTTCCATCCCTTTCCTTGTAATTTGCAATCAAGTTCACTTGGCTCTTACCAGTATGCATTTTCATGGATTCCAGAAGAGTTTGTGGGACTTCCATAGATCCAAACAGAATGTTCAAGACTGTAACAACAACAACTTGGATTTATATAGCACCCTCCACGCCGGACGACGTCTCAGAGCGCTTCACAGTAACGGATCCTAGGATCGAGCCGGGGGAGGAAGGTGACCAAAGGCGCAGTCGAAAAGAAAGGTCTTCAGCAGAGACCTGAAAATAGGAAGGGAGGGAGCGAGGCGAAGGGAGTGAGGAATAATGAGTAATACTTTAATGTGTTGGCAGAAATATAAGAGAAGTGCTTTGACCCTTCAATTTCTTTCCTGAAGATCTGCAACTTATCTCGGGGAAACTGGTTGTTATAATGAGTTTCCTTTTTCTGTGGAACGAAAAATAAGCCTCTATTTAACTGTTAGTCTTACTTCCAAATGAGTATAACTCATCATAACAAAATTGTCCATAATTGGTGGAAATTAGAAGTTGATTGTGGCAGAATATGATTTACATTTTTCTCTTTAATCCGTTACCTTGGTAAATGACCTGTTGTAGTTTTATATGTCTGCTTTGAGCAAATGACAACAACCACAAAATTACATTTGTAAAGCGCCTTTCACATCGGGAGTATGTCCCAAGGAGCTGAACAGTTTTAGATCGGGACCTGAGTGTGAGTGGGCAGGGTTGGGATGAAGGAGGGCAGAGAGGCAGGAGGGCGGCTGAAGGCACGGACAAAAAGGAGGGTCTTGAAGGAGACAAGGGAGGGAACAAGGCGAAGGGATTGTGGGATGGAGTTCCAAAGGGTGGGAGCAGAGAGGCTGAAACCAATCAGAGGTGCACAGCAATTGGCTTAAATATTATTTCATATATATATATATATATGCACGCATACATTATTCTGTGTATAGTGTTGCATTTTAGGAATTGAATACCTGCATAATAATAATAAATAATAATAATAATCCTTGCATTTGATGTAGTGCTTTATATATAGCCTTGTGCATTCTTCCATACCCCCCCCCCCCACCCCCCCACCCCCCAATTGCAATTATGTGGAGTCCTGTAGCTCAGTGGTTAGATCACTTGCCTCACAAGCAAGAGACCTGGGTTCGATTCCCGGCCTGATAATAATCCCTCAAGAAAACAATAAAATTGTTTACTTCAATCCACAACTGTTTGTGCGACACTGCTGTGCGCAATTGGCTGCTGCGTTTCGCCCAGAAATATACAATCAATTCACTTTACAGTATATTCTGGGAAGTACTTTTGAGACGTCTAGAAGACGTGATAAGGCACTATATCAAATGCAAGGATTATTACTATTATTATCAGGTCTTAGAAACGTCTCAAAGAGCTTCACAGAATGTACTTTAAAGTGAATTGACTATATTTTGTGGGCGAAACGTAACAGTCAATTATTATTATTATTTTTGAAGGAATTATTACCCCTGGAAAAGCGCTCCACCAATCTACTAACAACTGGTCTCTACTTACTACTAAGTGAACAGAGGCGTGTGGAGTAAGGAAACTTGCCCAACGTTTCGCCCTGTCGGGAATCAAACCCAAGTCTCTCGTTAGCGAGGCGAGTGCTCTAACCACTGAGCTACAGGACTCCACATAGATCTATCAATTAGCAATATCTTGTAAAATTGGTTAATTGACTGTTTTTATATAGCTGGGGAGCAAAATAAACTTGAATTCATAGCACATTAAATGACTGGAATAGGCAACCAAGAAGAACAGTAGAGACCAGGTCGCTGGACTTGAGAAACGTTGATGCTGTAGTTGGTAAGACTGTAGGATGGGTATTCTCACAGGATGAAATGGGTTAAAGTGCCTTTGTCAGCTGAATCTCTATTATTTTAATGTTGCTTTATCAAAAGGTTACTAGGTGTGCACCCAACACAAACCCAACATGTCAGAAGAAACATAGAAAGATTGGCAGCAAAGTACATCTGCTTTGTCAAGTGCTGTTATTAAGTTATTGACTTACTGTCAGTCATGTTTTTAATTTTGCTTAATTCATTCAAAACTGTAAATCCTACAGCAAGTGCCATTTGGAAGGATGTTGTTCTCTTTTTAAATGAAAGTATGCCACCCAAAGGCTGTAAACGTGCACTGAAGTAATATGTTTTCTTTTAAAAATAACTTTACTGAAGGGTTTTGTGTAGATGTACTGATCCTCCACCTCCCAGTATCATTGGATGGCACCTAATGTCTCATCAGAATGCACATTTATCTGAATGGTGATCCTGTGTCTGAGTTCAATGCAAAAAGGCTTAGAGTCTGAGAAGCTTCCCTAAGATGATTCGGTTTTGTTGATCTTGCTGCAGGCATCTAGTATTTTCTAATTTTCTCTCTTCCCACCAGAAGAAACCTATCAAGATTAACTTGATCAATTCAGTAAATAGGAAGAACATTGTTATTTTTAAAAAGTATAATTTGTGCTACATTATTATTTCTTCTACAAGCCTTGCAAGGCTAGATAAAGTATGTAATGGGTGGCTTAGATGAACAAAATTTGTTGTCAGTCTTTGTTTCATTAAAATGACAAAATTAAAAAATAATGCAGGTTATCAGAGACATTGAATAATTAAATTACAGATGCTTGAAGGTAATATGTTTGAATTTGTTCAAACCGATGAACTGGGTATTTATTCTTCAGTACAGTAGTCATAATTGGCTTCTAACCATCACAATTTATTTTATATACATGCAGCTTAACACTTGTAAAGTCGAGCCCTGTTATTAGTTGTTAAAGTGAAAAGTTTATTTGATAGTAACGATGTGGAACTACACTCTGGCAGATAGGAAACTATATTAGAAAATTATTATGTGGGAAATGATAATTTCTCGGCTGTACAAACAGGCATATTTAATAGTTTCAGAAACAAGTAGAACTGGCAGTTCTCCCATTGCCTGGAATCATTTTTGCTTAAAACTATTCCAAAATGACTTTTCAATACCAGTTCAATTATTCGAGTTAGTAATATGCTTATTTTTTCTTGGTTTTCAAAATGTTGTTTGCCTCTGCTTTTAATAATTTAATATCTACATACATTGAACAAATTAATTTAAATTTGAGTGGAAATATATCCACTATTATGAAGAAAAGTTCTTGTAAGTTTTGTATGCTGTTTCTCTTATCATAGTTAACGTTTTGTGTCATTTATACATTTTCTCCCCAGTTTTCCTCTGGTACCATCCTCTGCCATAGACACATCAGTTCTTGCATCTCTTGGTGGTAATAATGACCTATGCACAATGTTAGCACCATTGCTACTGTATGGTGAACCATTAGGAGGCTCGACTGAGCCTGGGCATGATGCTTTCACAGAAGGTATCGCTGAATGTAGGAGATACTGTGGGTTACTATGTGACACAGCATGTTTTAGTTTCAGTGTACTGCATCACCATTCTATCAAACTGCTTAAACTGTCTTTAATCATTTTCATTATTTTCAAATCCGTCTTTTTTGGCTTTCCATATAAAGTATCAATTATAGCTCGGGCTCATTGATGTTCTCTTTATTCTGCATTGTGATTCATCTCTGAAGAGCGCCTGAAACAACCTTTAGAATGTAGTTCGCCAAGAAAGTGATTTGCACCACTAAATGCAGATGGTGCAAATCACTTTGGTCTCCAACAAAGATATGCACACTTTAAAGTTTTACTAGAAATATTTAGCACATTAAAAAATTTACCAGTGCTCAGGGTCAGTAAGTAGAGCCCTATTAAAGCACTATTAAAGTTAAATAAGTACAGAACTTGCAGCCACTGGAGAATGGAGTTTTGGAGCGGGAAATATAAATACTATTTTCCACTCCTAATAGCTTTTCTATTTTCTTTCCAGCAGTATATATGACACATGAGGCATCAATTCTGAGTTTTGTCTACACAGATTCATTTATGGTGTGCAGTATGTGTTGATAGAAACTTCCTTTCTCAATCACAACGTTCATGTAAATCTATCTTATGTGATGGGATGTAAACAGGAATGTTCCGTCTCCTGGCAAATGGACCTCCAGGTACCCGACATGACAACATACTGCCTCCCTAATAAAGGGAGTGGGTAATTTTTTAGTAATCGGACACAGTTTTCTAAGTGCACTTCCCTAGTGTGTCAGGATTGAAAACATTTGTGATTGATAAAATGAGCAAAACTTTCAGCAATGTATTTTTCTATCAAATTGGCCAGATTATTTGATCGCCATGATGAAAATCTTCTGCCGTAACGATGAAAAAAGTGGAGAAGCTATAAGAAATAGCTGTGATAATTTGAACTATTTCACACTTTCTGTATTAACTTAAAATGTATTTGACTGGAGAAAAACAAAGGAATCAATGTATAGGATTCATTGCTGAGGTTGACTTTTACATTTAGGTAGTTTGGGATTCATTCTAGATTTGTTATAACTAGTATACAAGCAGAATATTAAATACAGTAGAATTTTTTGGGTGGGTTTGCGATAAGTTGAGAAAGAGAAACCGACCAGAGACTTTCCTATACCACGCCAGGACCAAATCTCTAACAAACTGGGAATTATAAGATTTCTTGTTCAAAGAACTTTATTTCATATGAAATGCTTCTTATTAGACCACTTTTACATTCTGGTTTTGCCAATAGCAATTAGTTGTCGACAATTGTATCCTTCTTCCTTTCCTCTCAGTTCCACCTTCATGGTTCAGCCCTTTCCTGGTTTCATTCTTGTCTGTTCTAGTATGTCTCATCGGTTTCTCATGCCCCCACAATGACTGACGTGCAGTGTTCCCAAGCGTTCTATCCTCGGTCCTCTCCTCTTTAATATCTACATGCTTCCGCTCAGCGATGTTATTCGCAGACATGGGGTTAACTTCCACATGCATCTACATGACACCATTTCTCCTCCTTCACCCCCCATTCTGGGACAGCTGCTGTTCCGACCAACTGCCTGTCTGACATCAAGTCTGCATGAAAGCTAACTTTCTCCAGTTGAATGTCGACACGACAGAGACTCTCTGCTTGGCTCCCGTCAGCTCCTCCTCACCTCAGGCACTGACAGCATCAATCTGCATCAATGCACACTCTCCCTCATGGAGCTAGTACAGAAACTCTTGTTGACTCTCAACTGTCCTTTAAACTCCACATCCATATCCTGACTCATTCAGTTTTCCTCCACCTCCGCAATGTCGCTTGCCAATGCCATTGCCTCTCCCCTCGAGCCGCCGAGACCCTGTTGCAACTCTCTGCTTGCCAGACTCCTAACACTTCCCTCTATAAGGTACAGACCATTCAGATCTCTGCAGCTCGTGCCCTCTCCTACATTAGGCTCCACAAACCTATCATCCCATCCTACCTGGCTTCACTGGCTCCAGAGGATTGAATTCAAGGTCCTCATCCTCACTTTTAAATCCCTCCATGGTCTTGCCCCACCCTACCTCTGTGACTTTTTTAAAGCCTTACCCAAACCTGCCTTCTCCTTCCTCTTGGCACCCCCCCTCCCCGCCTGCTTCAGCAACAGCAGTCCAGCTTTTAGCTTTTCTGCCAATACTCTCTGGAACTCTGCCATGGAGTCCCTTTGCCTTTCCCCTTTCCTTGCTTCCATCACGGTCTATCTCAAGATCTTACTCACCTTCATTCATGCCCCCCCCCAGTTTGAATGCAAACCCTTGACAATTCAGTACCTTGGAACTGGCTCCCGATATGAAACATGCTATATAAATGCAATTTATTGTTGTTGTGTGAACTAAAAGGTTGAGCCGTTTGCCTACCTGTGGTGTAAGTCAGTGACTGAAAATGGACCCCAGGACACTAATAAAGATAGTCTTTACTTGTTCCCCAAAGATTTCTCCTTAGAAAAGGATTTTTTATCAATTTCAGTTCGAAGTGAAACTTTCTATTTCCTTCACACTCCAAAGGATTATGTTGAAAATCTTTAAACATTACATGAATGGGGCAATTTTTATTTTGATAAATCTTTGTTCTAATCTGATGTTGTCTTTGATTTGTGATTCATTCCCTTTAACCTTGAGGGGGAGTTTTTTTTAGGGTTAAATACTTCAGTTTTGGTAATGCTTTTTTTCCCCTCGATTTTGTTTTCCAGGAATTTATCTGTCTGATTTGACATACATTGACTCAGCGTACCCGTCAACACACAGTATCATTGAGAGTGAACAAAGAACAAACCTAATAAACAATATATTAAGAATAATTTCAGATCTTCAGCAATCTTGTGAATATGGTGAGTTACTTAGTACCTGCCTCCAGTCATAGGCTTCTATTCCAAATTCAGAGAACACTTTCATTTTTCCTTCATTGATTTCCTTTAGATATCCCTTTGCTACCACACGTCCAGAAATATCTGAACTCAGTGAGGTATATTGAAGAACTTCAGAAGTTTGTAGAAGATGACAATTACAAGTAAGTTTTTATTGCTGTGATGTTTTCTTCCTAACAAATTCCTCCTACAATTCTGATGCTGCGAGCATGAACCATTTCTGGCGTTATGTTTTATTTTTTAAAAATTATCAGAATTGTTTTCCATATATAATCCGACTCCCACTTAAATTGCATCTGGAAAGTCCCATTGCTTGTCCACTGATGAATGCACACAAGATTTTTAATTTTGCCTTGGAGTGACTTGCATCCAGGGAATTCCTTGCAGTCTGCTCGGTTCTTCCTGTGTGAGGTAATTTTGTGAATACAAATAACACATAACTCACATCAAAAGTGGTCACATATGGTTTGAGGTTTCTTAGCAGTATAACCTGGCTACATTTTCAGTGAGTGCTCAATTTGTTTTCTAGGTATTTTCCTTTGCCACGTCAACCTGTGCACATTGTGTTCTCATTGACTAATTTTGTTCAAGCCCGGGCAGTTAGTCATACATTTTCCTGGAGGGAAATACTTGTTTCCTGGTAAAAGTTAGAAGTGATTTCATATCACTGTTTTAAAATTCTATAGTGTTAACCATGTTTTGCATGTTTCTGATATCACTACCAATAAATGGTAAACGTAATGTCCTTGGCAGGCAGAACTTCAAGCATTTTTTTAAAATCAATTAAAAGCAATACTTTAAATGAAATAGACTATCTCACATTTGGTAATCCACAGTAACTGTGCATTGGTAGAAGTCAACTGCTTTAACACATGAAGTCCAACTGGCAGATCTTTACTTAACTAACTTTCTTCATCATGATAAGTGGAAAATCAAGAACCTAAAAGTTAATGGAAATTCTGACAGCATTGCCAATAGTAAATATTTTGCTGTTCCAACAAGTGAAGAAATTAGCCTTAAAGTGTCAGTAAAGTTCTTTTTGCAGCTGTGATACCAGGTTCTGCTGTCAGACAGAATACATTAAATTATGAGTGGATTGTATATTTCAAACTTGATTTTGATTGTTCAATTTTTTTACTTCAACAACCACTCCTACTTCACTCAATATACCCTTATTCTGCAGACTCTCATTAAAAATTGAGCCAGGCACCAGCACACCACAGTCCACTGCCTCGAGGGAAGACCTGGCAGGTATGTGAATTTTTATTGTCGTTAATAAAAGCATAGTTGATTCTCTGCATTTTCAGACTTTGCCAGCTTGCGGTTCACAATTTGCCATTCTGTACTGTCTAATATTTGCAGCTTGTCAAATGTAGTTAACGTAACAAATCCAGTTTGTAAATGTTGCATTCTACAATTCATAGTTGCTGGTTGCTCAGAAAATGTGTGGCAGTAGTGCCTCATGTTTTTCTAGTTCAGCAAGTTTCAATTTTGTAAACCAAGAAAAGGATTTTGCACCACCAAAAATGAATGTGTTTTTAAAATAGCAAGTTGTGAGATATGCTAGGACATAGGGAATGCCTATCTCTGCTGTGGATTGGATTAATTTCTATGCATTCTGAATAAAGAAGAACCACTATGAAGTACAAAGGTTTACAATAAACAACAACTTGGATTTATATAGCGCACTCCACGTCCGACGGCGTCTCAGAGCGCTTCACAGTAACGGATCCCGGGGCTGAGCCAGGGGGAGGGGGAGGAAGGTGACCAAAGGCGCAGTCGAAAAGAAAGGTCTTCGGCCGAGACCTGAAAATAGGAAGAGAGGGAGTGGGCGAGGCAAAAGGAGTGAAGAAGGGAGTTCCAGAGCCTCGGTGCGTAGCGTCTTAAAGCATGGCTGCCGAGGGTAGAGTGGAGGACTCGGGGGACAAGGAGGATAATAATCCCTCCAAAAAACCAAAAACAATAATAAAATATATAAACAATATATATAATATATATATAATATAATATAATAAACAATAATAAAAGTGTCCCTGTTGGTGGGACATTGCTGTGTGCAATTGGCTGCCGCGTTCGCCCACAAATTTACAGTCAATTCACTTTACAGTGTGTTCTGTGAAGCGCTTTGGGACGTCCTCCCGACGTGAAAAGCGCTATATCAAATGCAAGGATTATTATATTATTATTATTATTATTATTACCCATGTGTTTAGTTTTAATGGCCAAGAATGGGAGAAAAAGGAGACAGGGATATTGTGGACAATTAGAATATTGCCCTTTCACCTCTGAGATCTGGCCTTGAACCCAGACAGGAATGTTCAGAGTGGCTTCTCTGCCAGCTGTAAGGTTCCCAAGTTCAATGGGTTCAGGGAGTGTCATCAAGGTGGGATCCTTCATAAATCCACATTGTTACAACTGGTTACAATTGAACACTAAATTGGTAATCTGATGAGAAAATAGTTGATGTAGAAAAAGTTTACAACAGTAGAGTAGGGAAAATCCTCAAGAGATGATATTGAAGAATATTGTTTTGTTGCAACTATTGTAATATCCATTTAATCATGTCCGGATTTTTCACCAAACGAAATGAGGGATTCCTTTCATTTGGTTATACTGTATATTAAGAAAAGTGTTGTGGGAACTGTATGTGTACTGGAGTGTAAAAATGAGGTGTTTCGCTCACTTGGAAATAGTTCAGTGTGTGTCTCCAATAATAAGCCTCATTACACATTGGATCCCCACAGCTAGCAAAAATAGTAACCCTCATGCCATTCCTGTGCCTCATAGTCTTTCTTTCATCTCTCGTACACTATCCCCCTGCCCCTTACAGCGCATTTGTGAAATGATTTGCAGCTATTAAAAAGAGCTCTAACTGCATTCCGCAACTGTAGAGCTATATGACTTGCCATAAAGCAAACATCTGAATAAAACGCATGTGAACATATACTAGACTGATTAGAAGTTACTTAGCCTCTGCCTCAGTTCAAGTCCTAAACGATCTGGCCCCGTTTCTGGAGGACTTAATGGTAACTTCTCTTTTCACAAATGCCACATTCCTTCCCAGGAAGTAAGGTTGTGTGTGTGCAGGGAGCACACTTTATGCTCCAGGTCGAAGAAGAGCAGTGCTCTATCTTATGCAATATTGGCGTTTCCAGCTCTAGTAGTACAGTACTTGCCTCCAGCTACCACCAATAAAATGTCTTGATCCTGAAGTGTACAACATTATTGTACTAAAACATACAACTAAGGAGAAGATTTATTGTATGTTATACCACTATGGCAATAATTACAAGATTCTGAAATATATATTCTATGAAAAACAAATTGCCCCAAAGTTTTCAATTTTGTAAAAATTGTACTGATGTATTTCTAATAACTCTGAATTTAAAACTCTGGCCCTTTTAGTGTGAGACTGTGTCTCTTATCTATTGAGTTTTACATACATGTGGTAATGCCATTTGAATGATTATACAATCATCTCTGCAGCCATTCATGCGGGATGGGATTTTTAAAATTTTGTGTTACAACTTGGTTTAAAATGGAAAAGGTCTGAGAATAAGATTGCAGTGATCGCATAATAGGAGCTTGCTTGACTTGGATTTTTCATAAACAGGTCCTGATGCATCAGCATCCCCACAGAGCAGTCGGAAAATCATGGCAGCTGAGGCAGCCTTGATGCAAGTACCACCAACTCCACCTTCCTCCAGACACCTGTTAACACATGGACACAGGAAGTCTCACAGTCTGGGATACAAGTCAGTAATTTAACATCAGCTCTAAATCATGTTAAAGCATGCATGACCTAAAAAATGCATCCAGATTCCTGAAGAAATGCCTGATTTACTTGTGGAGTAGAGACTATTCAAAACAATTAGGATTGTCCCCCCTTTAGATAAGCAAACAATGCAGATAATTGGGCATTATAAAAAAGTACAAATTGGCTATTGTGCTAACTAAAAAAAATTCCATCTGAATTATACTGACATTGTTGTTCCACTCTGGTCCAACTCACTTTTTATGACTTTGTTTCTCTTTTGCTGTCTTTTTCTCTCCCTTATTTTTCGTTCTTTTGAGTCTCACTCTCATTCCCTGAGTGTATCTAACATTTTATTTCTTAAAGAGCAATGTGTCTATCACAAATTCTGCCACCCATAATTTTAAAACCCAACCTGTATAATTAGACGTGCCTGTTTGCAATTTTAATTGACAAAAATCAGTATTTGTCAGATTTTTAAATTTCCTAAAAATAAACGAAAATTAATTCCTTTTGTTAAACATTTTTATCTTTTTGAAAACTGTATAATTTCTGCTGGTATTTTGCAGGCCCTGGATTTGCATGCATAGGCAGGAGGTTGGTAATAACACATAGCCAGGATCAAAATGTCCTTAGAAACCTTGCACACAACCTCTCACATGAGCACAGCTGTATTATTGCAAGTATCTCGCAGGCCCTATGTGCAACTTCCAATTCAGAGGCCATTGTGGACAAATGGGCATATAGATTGATAGTATGCAAATAAATGGTGCTTTACTGTTCTAAGATAATATTAAATAGAAGGAAATTCATAATATTTTTAAATTAATTTTTTCCTTTGCGTTAATTTTTAAGACACATATAGGAAATGAGAGTTTAGTTTATATTTATTCCACAGTTTTATACACAAAATGAATACTGTAGAATTTAAAAGTGCAACGTTTCCCAATGGAAGACCTCGGCACCTGCTGGATGACAGTGTAATGGAAAACTACGCCCCCTCACGAGTCCAGGCAGAAAGCTCCACCATCTCCAGTGGAATATCATTAGGTACGTGAATCTGAAGACAAACCTCTAGCTTTTCACATCAAGAAAGGTTGCCTTGTTTTGAGGTAAAATCAAACCTGAAAACCATAGTCCAGTTCAATAAACATGTTGATTACTTGGAGATGACCAGATCCATAATCTTATGTAACTGATGATGGCTTTCAAGTTGAGCACTTTTCAAGTTCTGCCAAGAATCACTAAAAAAAAAGTTTTGTAACATTTTTCCGTCATACAAACCAGTTAATTAGGAATAATTGAAAAGTGATGAAGACTGAATTCAAATATTAGCTTGCAGTTATTAATATCAGGTTATACTCATTTTTAAAATTAATTTGCAATATAATATGATTAATTCCTTTTGTGCACATCTGGCTAATTTTCACCTCTATGAGTCAAAATCTACACAGCCATTACTTATTGATCCAAACTGTTTGCTGCAGTGATTTTATTTTAGACCAGCCGTTTAGATCGTTTAGAGGTTTTTCTGTAGCTGACTGAGTAATTTTGTTAAACACAAAACAGAACATTTAAAATAATGAAGATTTCCAAACTACCAATTTGATTAGTATTTTTGCACAAAGTGCTAGGCAATTTTACTTCTTTAAAAACTGTTTTTAAAGCAGCAATGCCTCACAACTGTAATCTAGTTCAGAATGAAACGGATCCATCTTTCTGAGGGCCTTGAAAGACTCATATTTTCAGTGTGTTTTGACTGTAGCTTAATATTCTCAACTGTTCAGTGATCAAGGTAAAAACAGACTACAAATTCAAAATGTGCTAATTAAAAAAAAACGTAGTTGGTAGGATACTGGGAACTGTTTAGTCGAATGCACATGGAAAGTTTTTTATGCTTTAGCCAAGAAGGCATAGGAATTGGTGGGATAGATTAAATAACAATGATAGTACAAATAACCAGTCTTCACCTACAAATGACAGTCACTACATTATTGATTTCCAATTTATTTATAAATTGTATGTTTTAATATTTGAATTCAGTTTTAATTAATTGAATTCACTAATAAAACTAGTAAAGGCTGTTGGGTGTGATTATCAATCATTCACTGAAATTATTCTGTCACTATGAAACGTGTTAGAAAGACGAATCACATTATTGAAGTGCATCTGACTGTAATTGACTGCAAGGCCACATTTGTAAGATATTGTTCAGTTATAGGCAAAAATGGCAAATACTCTAAATGCCTCAAAGGAATGATAGTCACATTGCTGTTGCATCCAAGACTCTGCTCCATATTGAAAGTTTTATTAAAGTCTACAACCAGTTTTATTATGGACCATCAATGAGCACAGAAAAATTCCATTGCATTAGTTTAAGTTGAATCCACTAAAATGAATCCAAAGAGATGAAAGTATGTTAACTCACTCAGCCAGTTCATAATAACAATCTGACTTCAGTGCCTTCAACTTAGAAGAAAGTGTTGAAGTGTTTTATAAAGTGCGGTTGTCATATCTTTCAGGTATAGATTTGTTCTTGTTACATTATTAGTGTGAAGTTTCACTGCAAGAAAAAGTAAAAATGTAAGTTTTAAATGGTAATAATTTACTATTGATAGAAAAGACCCAAGATTGTAACAATCCAATGTAATTTCTTGTTTCAGGCAGCAGCGAGGGTTCAGAACTTAGTGAAGAGGTCTCGTGGCCAGCATTTGAAAGGTAAGAATCTTAATGGAAATGAAGGTATCTTTTTTTCTAATAACCCAGCAGTAACCATCTGCCTCTGGATTATTTTATGCGCAGAAATTGGCTATAAAGGCAAATTACTTCCCTGACATAGGCTTATGCTCAAGGCAGTGTTCTAGCAGTGGAAAATGATTCTCCTCTTTTTCTGTTATATAATTATCGTGTGAACTGAATTAACATCAAGTTTACTGAATGTATCATCAATTTATGGTTCATGTCACGATTTTAGGTTGTGTTGTACACCTCTGCTTCTTATGCAGGGCAAAGGTTGAATCGTTTGCCAGTTTACACTCTGGATTTAGTTTAGTTGCAGCCGAACACATCAGTTTCAGCAATTTTTCTGAGCTCCAGCTCATCCAAAATTCGGCCTCTCACGTCCTTACTTGCACTAAACTTTGCTTGCCCATCACTCTTTTCCTTGCTGGGCTTCACTGTCTCCCAGGAGATCGATTTCAAAATACTCACTTTCATCCATAAATCCCAACATGCCCTCACCCTTTCCTACCTCTGTGATCTGTTCCAGCCTCACGTTCCTGCCTGCCTCCTATGCTTGGCTACTCTGACCTGCTGCTCCCTCTACCTTCCACTCTGTCCCCAGCTTCCCTTCTATTTTTCCCACATTTTCCACCACTGCTTCTACCAATGCCCCTACCCTACACTTCCTTGCTCCTATTTCTCCCTTCTCCTTCTCAATCATCATCATCAATATGAAGCCCACCATCTGCTGCCTTGATGCACACCCCACCCAGCTGCTGACTACCCAATTGCTCTGCTTCTACTGGCCAACATTGTTAACCTGTTCCTCTCCTCCGTAACTGTCCCGCTCACTCTCAAGACATGTTGTCATCACTCCCATTGTCAAAAAAAACACGCCTTGTTCCTTCTAGTTTTGCAAACTACCAGCTAAAGTCAAACTTGCCCTTCATCTCTAAATTCCTGGAACGTGTTGTTGCCAGCCAGTTTCGCTCACATATCTCCCTCCACTCTCCACTCGAGCCCCTCAAGTCCAGTTTCTGACCTGCTTACACACTGAGACAGCTGCGAAAATCACAAATGAAGTCTTCTGCCGTGTCCAGAGCTCCGTCTGCCTCCTTGTCCTCCCGGACCTCTCTGCTGTTTTTGACAAGGTCATACCATCTTCCTCGATTGCCTCTCATCCCTAATCTACGTCACTGATTCAAATCCTGCTTGACCACCCCTAATCACTTCATCTATGCTAATGGTCACCCCATCGCCCTGGGCCTTGCCAAGGTCCACTGCTCCTTATTACAGAATGGATCAATTTTAAGATCCTCTCACTTACTTAAAAATCAGTTCACGCCCTGACACCTCCTTACCTCTCTGAGTTGCTTACATTTGATTTTTCTATCTGCCCCTTTTGCTCAGTGGGCTCCGGCCTTCTGCAGATCCTTCGTGCCCTCCTCTCTCCATCAGCAGAGGTGCCTCTGCATCCTGAAATTCTGGGAACTCTCTGCCTGAAATTCTCTGACTTGCCTCCTCCTTTCTCTTCAACTGTGCCTTTCAGCGCTTTGGAACAACGACAAATTACATTTGTATAGCGCCTTTCATGTCAGGAGGACATCCATTATATAAGTGCAATTTGTTGTGGTTATGCCTATCATCACATCACTTTCCCTCTCCCTAGCTCAGTGTCAAACTCTGGCACTGTTAAGCACTCCAAGACACTACCCTGCATGAAGGGTACTATGTAAGCTTATTGTTGTTGTTGTTATTATGCAGCTTGTTGTTGCTGTTGGATAGCATAGTCATTGCTTTTTAGAGTATACCCTGTAAAGGGCTCTGAGACATCCTCCCGACATAAAAGGTGCTATATCAAATGCAAGAGATTATTTTTAACTGTGCAACTAGCAACAGCATTCCTTACCATCAACGTCAAAACTTAACTGCATTTTCCATTTCTCCCACTGAGTAAGATTTTTTTATATGGCACTTACTGGGACCAAAGATTGGGCAGGAAGCTATCGCAACATTTTTGATAAAGAGATGTTCTTTTTGAGTTTCTCTCAAACCTTCCAGAATAGAAATTCTTGGGATTAAGTTGTTACAAAATAGCTGTGGTTGCATAATTTATAAATTTGGCCCCTAATTTTACTCTCAATTGAGGAAAAAATCCAAACAGTGGGGATGTGGCCTTTACTGACATAATATGTAAACATTCTTGATTTGTTGGACAATAGAATATTTGTCTCATTTTTAAAGTATGAAAAATTGAGAGAAAAGTTTGAACTTTGCCCAAATATGTATCTTGTGATTTTTGAAACTTACAATAAAATTCTGCAGGAACCGCTTCTATTATTCTCTTGGTACAGTACAAAGAGTTGGCCGGAATGGCTACAGAGGCCACATGAAGGCCAACAGGTAATCGTCTGTTTTTAAAGGAATTGGTGCATTCCAACCCTTCTATCTGAGGTGTATGATCAGGTGAAGGTATTAACAGAGCCTGATTTATCTGGTGTGTTTACTCTTATTCTCTTACTCTTTCATTCCAATCAACTTACTAATATGGTGAAGGGTATTTTTTGTTTGCAGTGATTTTCCTTTTAGGAACTCTGATTTATATATTCTGTGTGATTTCATCGTCTTGAATGTCTTTGCCTTGGAGTCAGACTTTGATTGTTCCTTGTGCTGAAAATACAGTAGTGTAATGAAACACGGAAGTTTAATATAGTGAAACCCTGTTACAAGTAACTCTGTCAGGATGAAACTCATAGTGTCCTGCGAAAGCTTTCAAAATTTTCAACAAAACCAGACCTGGTACACTGAAATTTTGCATCGGCAAACAACATTTTATTCTAAAAGGCTTCCCTGTTCTGTTCATATAGTTAGGCTGAAATGTTAAGTGATTTTTCAAATAATTGTTTGGTCTTTGGAAAGATTTCTTTTTGATCAAGAAAGAAATTCATGTTTTCCAAATAATCAAGTTCTCAAGCAATTGTATTCTATAGTAACCGTGGTTCACCTTTCTCCAGCTAAATTCCTTCTAGGAAAAAGTCGAAACAATTCCTGAAATATCATCACCACATAAAAATAAGTACAACGTGATTTGTGGGAAGTTTCATATGCCCCTGATTAATTTCTTTAAGAAAATTTGCAATTCCACACCTTTCATACAGTTCTCAAATTAATCAATTTCATTCATCACGGTACAATCAATGCAAAGTAAAACCTCTTAAGTTTCAAAAGTGTTCTTCTATTCTCTGTAACCAGACAACCACTGTACCTAGTCTGATATAATGAGGGCAGCAGTCAAAGCTGTACGATTCAATCAATTAACCATTAAACCACCCGATATTTTCCGTATTTAAAAATAAAGAAATGACTTTAACTTCAAATAGTAAACTGTGTAACAGTAACATTTTCAAGTAAATTAATCTTATGTTCTTCATTTGCATTCGTCAATTATAAATTACCCACAAACAAGGGAAGATTTAAAATTAAAATCTCTTAAAAGAAATTAAAACCTCCTAGTTTATTTTAGTTGTTATAAGTTCCTCATCTTGCATTTCTCTTTATTGCTAGTTCGGTGGAATCTGAGGAGGTGGCAGTGAATCTTTACCCAGGAACTGTTACAGTTCAAGGCGTTCTGAGAAGAAAGACCTTACTGAAAGAAGGCAAAAAGCCCACGGTAGGGCATGATTTTAATATACTATGTGTGTGTGTATATACAATAGAAACCTGGTTTGCGGTCACATTGGTAATCCAGCCACCTCACAATTGTGGGCACATTTTCACAGTCTCCTTCATTGTCAATGTTAAAAGATAGGCTTTCTGCTTCAGTAAACCGGGCACCCCAATATTCAGGACAACGGTCATTGATTGCAGCCACTACAGCACCTTCCTCCTCTTCAAACGCGGTACAAACACCCCCCTCCGCTACTAACCTGTACACAGTGCGCTAGGCCTCGGGCTTCTTGCGCTGTTTCCTCGATGGTGCTACTGTGGGCGGATTGGGTTCCAGTCGCAATGAGCGGCGCGGGGAATGTTGGGATCGTGAAAGCGGCGCGATGAGGAAATCAACTTTCTGGCTCTGCCTCGTCAACGTGCAACGTTTTCTCACAGTACCATCCTTATGGTCTCTTTGAGATCACAATTCAAAGGGAGTGTTGTACAATTTTCCTTTGAGTAGAGAAATGTATTCTCTGATTTATTCCATCTTGCTAATTATGTTTTTCAGCATTTTTCCAAATGCGTTTTGGTCTACTATCTTCTGTTTAGTGTTTTTTTCCAATATAGGGTCCAGTTGAGCGCTCCCTATTCTGACAATGTCCAGTGAATGGAATCTAGCCAGATATCTGATTGTAATCATTCTCAACAAAGCTCTCCTTGTAGAACTATGGAATTGAAACCATTTGGCAATTGTTATTAAAAATTATGAAGTAAGCCTATGGAGCTGCAGGAAGATGATCTGAATCCTCTCTGGGGATTTGTGAGATGGCTGTTTAGTGGTTTCAGACATTCTTAATAGGAGTCGATTAATGGAGATTTTACCAAATTAGGTGAAGATGTATCAATGTTTCAGCTGTTGTACATACATTTTGTCAGAAAGCAATTTTCAAGCAGCTCAGTTTAAAGGAATATCAGTCTACTATATAACATGAATTTTCAAAAAAAAACGGATATCAGCGGGAACGAGTAGAAATGAGAATTTGTATCTTGTTGTTGAAGCGCACTTTTGTTGCTGATCAAAATGATTGTATGGAAATTGTGTCTGTGTGGAAATTGGCAGGTTACCTGTCTCTAGTGGTTGTCTGTGACTAACCAAATGCAGATCAAGGAAAAGAAAAAACTGGGATCAAAAATAACTTTAAAAAAGTGGTTCCAATTGTAATTTACCCTTTTCCCCGTTGGTTAAAATTCTCATGTACATTTCAGATATATCTTGGATGAAAGTTAATATTATCTCATAGTTTGCCTTAATTTATTCCTTAGTAGCTAGAAACATTATATGTGCTGCACATTTTTCAGGCCCACGTAGCTTCCCAGTCAAGAACAGAAAGATGGCACCTATTAAAGACAGATATGGTGCATTGCAATACACTGGCAGATGGAGGAAATTATACCTTCTCACATCATGGCAACTCAACCCATTTTTTGCATCTCTTCTTTTACAGAAGGTTGGCAGGCACTCTTCCCGCCTGTGTCATCGCTCATGGTGATGTTGGTTGAGTGCATTTAAGTCTGTGATGTCTCGCCTTTTTTGGTTTCACCTTGCTCTCCATTTGGTGCTTGATTTAAAGCACAAACGTGACTGAGAACTCGCCATCTGAGGAGGTCTCAACAAAACTTAAAGAATTTGACCAGATTGGGTGTCTTAATCAGCAGAGTTTTTCCCAAACCTCCATTTTCTTGTTATAGCACAGTGCTTCAACACACTGTGTGAACGACGCAGTTTCGTGAAGCAGTAATTTCCAAGGCTTTCTGAGCACTGTTCATGTCAGAAAATAATTCAATATTTTTGTGTTTTCATTTTAGTATAACTTCAGATTCTATAAATTTGAAACAAATTTAAGGATAACATGGTAAGATTTTGAACACTGAGTCACTGCTTTACCTTCAAGAGAAATTGATTGTCCATAAATTGGATGAAACAATAGTTTCCCAATATTTTCATTTTTTGTGCAACATATAATCTTCTTTCAGGCCCATTATTACCACTGAAAGTAGTTTAAAGAAATTGCATTATTTTTCTAATACAGTGGCAGGAAAACTTCTGCATTATTTAAAGTGAAACAGTACTGCAAGCACAATGTTCCAAGTCACAGTTTGGTTCTTTGTGTGTCTAGGTGGCATCATGGACTAAGTACTGGGTGGCTTTATGTGGAACTAAGCTCTATTACTACTCAGCAAAGTCTCTGAAACCAACAGAAAGAAAACATGTAAGTACGAAACTCTGAAATGGTTATACTGGCTTTGCAAAATCCAATAAAATAATCTGCTTTACACACGTAATCAGTCTTTGTCAGCTACAGTAGATATTCCTAACAAAGTATTTTGTAATGTACCTTTGGGGAGAACATCTACATATCACATTAAATGAATGCACCATAACAGACATTGTTGATCTTGTTATGAATGTTGCTAAGTAATGTCAAACATCATAACAATGATAAATTTGTTAATATTGGAATGAATTGCTGTTTCAGATGCACAATAATAAGTCTGTAATAACAGATTGTTTGGACCATTTTCTTATCTTATGACATTTTTCCTCTACATTTCTTTATGATTGTCCTCCTTGGAGTGGGGGGTGGGGGGGAGTGGAGACTTCTTGGAACCGAGCTGGCTCCAAGCTGACATGCTTTGGCAACAGATTGTCAGAATTGAGACAAACCTCTGTGGCTTTCTCAGCAGTCTAGTTCCTCAGTAGCATTCTGGGACCAGAAACCTGGCTCATCGGTAGGATCTGGAAGTGGAGAGATGTCCCTGGGAGCAGGGATTCCTATTACTCAGCTCTTGTTAACCCTGCAAGCCAAAACCCAAATGGGTAGGGTGGTCCTATGACAAGCAGCAGGAAAGCTTACCAGACAAAGTCTGAATGGCAAGCTCGATTAACCAGCGATTTTAGCTGGTTAGACTCCAGCAGTTACCTGAACACATACACTGGGGTCCCCAAGCCTTGCTCATGCAAACTTGCACCTAATGCTCTCCAGAAATGGATAAGCATTCCCCCAGGGAGTGAGTGTGTATTCCATTCCAAACACAGAAACATTTCCAGTTATAGTTGCCATAAATATGTGGAACTCTGACTGGTTTGATACCCTTAAGCACAGTGATTTTGCACAACCATGATGTGGTACAAATGTGGATTAGTACATTAGTTTCCCCACATGTTGAGTTTGCGATCTTAGCTTGGTTGTTGAGCCAAGCTCTCTTTAGACAATGCAAATGACAGAAAGTCAGAGGCACAATTGCTACCAACCACCTTGGGCAACTCTTTCAAGCTTGCTTCAAATGACTTCAAATGTTTCAGCCAACGGCTAGAGAGCTCCTCAATCAAGAGGAACATTTCAGCAGTGCAGAAATGTAAATTTATCAAGTATTACTTTTCTTTATCACATTTGCTGTCTGAATGAGGTATGTAGTTTTCATGCAAATTGAATTAAATTTCACATTAGAGCTGCGCAAGAATTCCATAGAGCAGTGAGAAACATTAAGTCAGTCTCATTGAGTTGAAAATGAGCAACTCTGTTTGTTGTTGGATCGTGATTTTAGTGAAAGTCTCTCTGAATAACACTGCTCGGTTTTGTCTAAATCCCCAGGAGTCTTTAATGCTGATGAGTGTTGCTTACCGTGTATAACGTTCTGTTTTCCAGTTTAAGTCAAGTTTGAGTAAAAGTGTGTCTGTTGTGGGCTGGATGGTGATGATGGCTGATGATCCGGACCATCCAGATGTTTTCCAACTTACAGACTCTGAGCGGGGTGAGTAATGAATGGAAAAGGTGTAATTTCCTCCTCCTTACTATCAATTTCAATCTCCCCACATAGCTGACTCGACCAAGCCCTGGCAAAAATTTATGTGCTGTTTTGTGATTTATATTCTATATCTTTGTGGAAAATTAATTAGGCAGTACATTTTCCAACAAAAAATACACCTTTCAAATGAATATTGTTATGGTAGGATATAGTATCACTTTGACCTTTTCTTGTGTTAACTTTCAGGAAACTCTTACAAGTTCCAGGCTGGTGGTAGAGTAAATGCAATGCTCTGGTTTAAACATTTGAGTGCTGCCTGCCAAAGCAACAGACAACAGGTACATTTATAACTAAATGTCACTGGGATCTTCAGTAGGACATGACTAGCAGTATGGACTCTTAAAATAATGGTAAAATGTATTGAAAACAATATAGAATGCTTAAACTATTTAATACAGTATGCTGATTATACAAGCAAAAATCAAGGAGACTGTCTTGCTTTTTATTTCTGTTACGTACTGATGCCCTACTGTGATGTTAAACTTGTTACGACTACGATAACTGAATGAATACAATAACTTCAATAAAAATAAATTTGAATGGCAAAATGCAAGATTGTTCAGATTATAAGTTTCTAGCTTTTCGGCACTCTAAAATTTGTAATATGAGCTCAAGATTATATTATGTCATCCTTCATGAACGATTTTGCATTTCCCTCTCGGTGCTTATCATTATCTGTACTCATCAATTGTGCTGTGGCTTTTTAACACACTCCTCATCAAACCAACCATATCCCAGGTAATGAATAATCCAGTGTCAACTCACTTCAAAGAAAAATCTATACTTTCTGCTTTCCATTTGATATACATTCAATTTTATGATGGTTGCACACAAAATCTTATCTGCAAACATCTGAGGTAGTCTTGAATGAAGGTTGTCACATAGAAATGTAGTTTCTCTCCCCCCCCCACCCCCCACACACATAAATAATTACCATTTTTTATAATACTGGAACTGATGTGAGGTAAAGTACTACTCAAGGCGCAGGAATGTAGTAACTGGTCGTAGTGAAGTTGCTGCTAAGCATAAGTACTTTAGAAAAAGAGAAGTTTTTTTTTGGAGGGGGGTGGCTTGCATTTTCATTGTAATGTACTCCCACCATCTGTACAAAAATAAATATTACCCGAGCTTTAGGTAAGCGGGGTGTCCTTGGAACTGAACTGGCTCTAAGGTGACATGTTTGGCAACGGAATGTCAGAATCAAGCCAGCCCTCTGTGGTGGCCTCGGTAGTCCAGTTCCTGAGCCAGGCAGGTCCAGCTAGGACAACCCTACCCAGGCTGGCTGCCCTGTCACTGTTTGCACACATGTCTTGTATGCTACAAGCTTGACCTGCACTGGGACCTTACTGTCGTTGAAGAACATGACCAGTGTGCCCTTCACCCATTCTTAGCATGGTACTTCAGGACAGTAGTACTCCAAGGCACTGCTGGGGTCAGCACAGTCAGCCTGGCAGATTGGCAGAATCTGGAAGGGCAGACCAGTCACTGTGGGCAGGGAATCTTTCCACTCAGCTCTTGTTAACCTGCAAGCCAAAGCCCTAACAGGTCGGGTGGTCCCAGCTGGACAAGCAGTAGCAAAGCTTGCAAGATAGGGATATCAATTGCAAGCTATACAGTTCTAGCTGGTTAGATTCCAGCAGTACCTAACGCACAGTCTGGGATCCCCAAGCTTTGGATCTTGCCAACCTGTGCTTAATACTCTCCGGAATTAGGTAAGCTAGATGCGACCCTGCAATCTATCTGGGATTTTCATGTGTAGGCGGGATTCATGGAATTCTCAATTTGGTTTGGCTACTCTTAAGCATGGTGATGTGTATCTGCCTGTGTCAGACACCCGGCTGTCCCCACAAAATGAAATAACTTCCATTGTAACATCAACAAGTTTAGTTCAATTTCTAACTCTGTCTTCCTTGGGTTAGCCAGCATGAAAGCTACCAGTCTTCACTGCAATTTTTGTAAGAACTATTTTAATTGGCAGCTATGTAATGCAGCTGGCTAGAGCTGGCCTTTTTCCCTGAACCTCGGTTCAAATCAACGCAAGTTTAAAAAAAACTAATCTGATGAGTGTAGGAATACTCATCTGCTACTGTGCTTACCAGGGTTGAATGGCTTAGGCCATAAGATGTAGGAGCAGGAGTAGGCCATTCGGCTCCTCAAGCCTGCCCCGACATTTAATAGGATCATGGTTGATCTTCTAACCTCATTCCATTTACCCGCCCTATCTGCATATTCCTTAATCCCTCTATCCTTTAGAAATCTATCAACCTCAGTCTTGAATATGTTCAAGGACTGAGCATCCACGGCCTCTGGGGTAGAGAATTCCACAAATTCACTACCCTCTGAGTGAAGAAATGTTTCCTCAACTCAGTTTGAAAAGGCTGACCTTTAATCTTGAGACTATGACCCCCAGTTTTAGATTCTCTAAATAGGGAAACAGTCTCACGGCATCTACCCTGTCAAGACCCTTAAAAATCTTATAGGTTTGTATAAGATCACCTCTAATTCTTCTGTATTCTAGAGAATATAGGATATAGGCCTAGTTTACTCAACCTATCCTCATAGGTCAACACCCTCATCCCAGGAACCAACCTTGTGAATCTATCCCGCACCCCCTCTAAGGCGAGTATGTCCTTTCTTAAAACTGCACACCAAGGTCTTTTACAACTCGTAACCCTTTCACAACAAACGCCAACATGGCATTAGCCTTTCTAGTTGCTTGTTGTACCTGCATACTAACTTTTTGTGATTAATCCCTCTGAACACTAACACTACCTAGTCTCTCTCCCTCTAGAAAATAATCCGCTTTTCAAAACAGAATATGTTTTGAAAATATTTGCTGATACGAATCTGAAGAATTTTAAAGTTTGAAGTGTTGATTTTGCAGAAATGTTAATACTTTTGATATATACAGACCTTAAAGCCTTGAAGTGTAATGTGTATATTCCAAAGGTTCCTTTGCTACAGGTGTTGCATTTCCTAATAAGAGATTTGAGCCACAAAACAATATTACTGTGTTCTTCCCAGGATTGGAAATTGTGCATCATTTTTCAAGATTTTCATGACGTGCTGAGAGGAAATCAAAAAAGATTTGCCAAAAACTTGCATGAAGACTGTCCAATTTCTAGTCCTAGTCATTTGGTAAATTATATTGGACGGCATAGTGAGTTGCCAGGAGGGATGCCGAGTCGAATCAGTAAGACCGGGAAGCATGTTGTATTAAGAGCAAAAAATAAGAAATAGAGAAGCAAACCTGAAGGTTGTTTGCCCTGACTTTCCGCACTCAGCCTGAGGTTATTGCTGGCTCTCTTTCAAATAGCTAACTTTATCCCCAGTTGGAGTCAGTTTCACGCTTTTACAATTGATTTTCAAAGAGGTGAATTGGGTGTGGAAGTGAATATTAAATACTAACAAACTGATGTGTTGCTTCTGTACACTAAAGCAGACACCCATATTCCTACAGTCTCTTGACCCTTTTAATAATTTAATAATAATTTAATTATTTTGTTAATAAGCAAAAAATACCAAGTTTGAGTACCTAAAGATTTAGGTTCCATATTTCTGTGCACAAAGTATTTTAATTTCCTTCAAATGCACTCAACAAGTTTATTGAGGGTGTTTTGTAGTAAACCAGCAGAAATGTAGATTTTGCATATGATCATAGTTTCAACCAACATCAGAGATGGGTGTATTTGAGATCAAAGGCTTATACACCTTAAAAGGACTGTAATTAATCATCAATTCGATTCCAATTAATTCATAAGAAGCTTCTAAGATTTAAGGTTTGGTTGGATTCAGCATTCATTGAGTAAATATGTTTCATATTGGGTGAATGTTCCTTAGGCCAAGAAATATAAAAATTAGTGACTGGGTAGAATGAGTCTCGATTCGGGACTACATTGGGTAATGCACATTTCGAACTCCAGTAAAAGAAGGTTGAATAGACTGTAGACATACGTCTGTCTGTTTTAGTGTACAGAAACAGAGCATCATAAATATTGTTTATTCTAGACGTTCATAATATTTTAGGGTTTGTTTGTTTGAATTTGAAAGAAATATGTACCTACCCTTTGGCATTATTGACATAATATTAATAATCCTATATTGTTGGACAATTTACAGTCCCAATACTATAGGGAATGACATCTCCAAACACAATTCAGACAATTGCTTTTATGTTGAATTTTGTCTCTGCAGGTTCCTGCCAACTTAATGTCCTTTGAGTGACTGAAACATGGACCTACCTAATTGGAGGAATAACTTGGATGCAGGACTTGATAAGTGTGTGCAGGACCTAATTGAAGAATGCCAGTGTTTTGTTTATTCTGTGCCCAGAACAGAATCCAGGGACTTTTGTTGTCTTGGTATTAGAGCCTGAATTGGATCGCTAACCGCTGGGACTGTTTGGAAATCAGCGGTCATCCGAGAATAACCAAGTACATTTGAATCTCTGTGAATTGTGCATCTCAATTGCACTGCCTGACCTGTGGAACCACTGCCTTAAGCAAGAGAAGATTTGTTGCACCAAATAGTGTACATTGTATATCCAGTGATGCTGGGCTTTTGATACAGAGAATCCAGCTAAATTACAGTTATTATAGTTAATAGTTTGGGGAGGGCTTTCTTAGCTTTTTTTTCCATTTCTTTTGTTCAGCATTCATTTCTGTTAAACTGCTCTAGGCTAGTTAACCCATGTTGGGTGTGGAAACAGAATGAGCTGTCTGTGTAGTCATCAGTATTACCATGTAGAACAATTGCACATCCATAGGTTTTTAAATACCTAAATATTTTATTTTGTTGAGAAAGTGTTTTTTAACTGAACTGTTTTGTACCCAGTGTAATTTCCTTTTTTATTTTTTTTTCAATTTTTACAATGTGAACATTCTGTGAATTTTTCTGCTGCAGTCTTGGGTGGGGGGGGGGGGTTGGACTTTAACTGTGGTAACTTTGTACTTTGAACATTTAGACATACACCATTTGGTCATTGTATATTTTTTCACTCACACTAATATATGCAGCATGAGTTGACCCTCTCACATTCTGCTAACGTACATTTTGCATTCTGTCAAATAACTGTAGAACTACTACTGAATCTGATGGCAACTTTCTATTGCTTTTAGTGTGACTGATGTCTTTATCCCACAACTCTGAATGTAGTGTGGGTATGTGTGGATTTTGGTGTGCACGTGCACAGGCAATTTAAAAAAATCTTTAGGTACAGATTGGAGAGATCTTTCCTACTCAATAAATATCTTGCAAATGCAAGCAGATAATTTGACCATTTGCATGCTGTTTCTACCAAATGAATATTGATGGAGAGAGGTGTTTGTCAGTTACATGAAGCTTTCTGACAAACAGGTCATTAAGAAATTCTTGCATCTGAACACATGTGGGAGCCTAAAGTGGACTGTGTAAATGAGTGACAATTTTATCTTTCATGTCTCCTGTGTACTTTATTTACTTTATTTATTCTTCCACTGTCAAAACCAATCAATTCCGCTTGTCATCTCATCAAGTGGAAACAGGTTTGTTTTTGTCACCTCTGTTTGCAAATGTTTTGAAATGTATTAACCTGACCTTTTTCAACAGGTAATGTGTTTGAATGAATGTGGTTTCAAAGATTCAAAGGTATTTTTGAACCACTGCTGCAGCAATGTAAGTTAACATTTCAAGTATTTCAGTTGTTTCACATACTTAATAATAGTTTCAGATGACCATTTGGATGGTATCAAGAGATTCAATAACTACTTTGTGTGTATATATGTTGAGCAAATAATTTAATTTTGCTTTATGATATAGTGCATTGGATCAGGATTGCTCATGTGTGGTGAGCAGAGTACTTTAGATCATCCACTCCAGAGGCCTCAGCAAAGCATGGTAAAGTCATGACCAAACTCCTCTTTCTCACCATCACGTTGATTGGCTCAAAGTGACATTGCCAGTAGCAGGAGAGAAGGTCACTCACTATTCAGTGAGTAGAGATTAGCAAATGCAAGGATTTCAAATGCTTAACATAAGCTAAAATTTGCACTGTGCAAAGGTTAATGAGAGAGATATCAATGTAAAATATTTATTCCTTTGAAAGCGACTGTAAATAGGGAACAGTGCACATAGTAAAAGTTACCTTTTGATTTGTTTCAGTAATATTTATACATAAAAGATACAACAGCATGGTTCAGTAATAAAAGAAGCTGCAATATAGTCTCAAATTAGCCAAATTAGCTCTTAATTCTTTCCTAATTTTTCAAATTTAATGATTTACGGTTCTTTAGATACAAACTTGAGAGAACTTTCCTATAAAATATAATTTGTTCTATTTGCAGTCATTGTTGAAGGTTTGTTTGTCTATATTGGTCTACCTTTTTCTGGGCTATTCAAATGCCCTTCTGATTGTTGGAACACCCTGCTCATCAGACTCCCTAGCTCCTCCCTATACAAGTTGTAGACTTTCCAGAACTCTGCATGTCTTGTCCATTCCTGCACCAGGTTCTGTGAGCCTATTGTACTCATTCTCTCCCAGCTTTACTGCACCCCTAGCAGAATAAATTTGGCAAAATCCTTGTCCTCTCGTTCAATTCCCTCCACGACTTTGCACCACATTATGGCGACCCGACTACTCCATCCACTTCCTCCACCCAGGAACATCCACCCATCATCCATAGCAAGCTTTCAGCTGTTCTGCCTCAGATCTCTGTAACTTCTGCCCAAAGTCTCTCCGCCTTGCTTTAGACCCTTTTTGGAGCATGCTTTTCGCCTTCTTTCCCTATCACCACCCCATTCCCTCCTTCCTCAACTCCCTCCACTCCTAACTTAAAGACATGCTTCCACTGTGAAAGCTACTATATAAATGTAAATTGTTGTTGTTGTCATACCAGAAAACTACTGAATGAAATTAACACTTAGGATTTGGACTATACAAGACCATGTTTGAATTGCTTTGAGTGATGTTTCGTGGATTCACTTGGTTCATTATCAATGCAGAGAATGATGTATTCCCACCATTTGCCATCAGTATCCAACAGTGATGCTTCACAAAAGGTAAGTGAAATGATAAAAGGATTTTAAAAGTAAGGAATTCATTAATGTGTGATAAAGTGGAACATGAGTGCTAAAATATGGAATTATTGCTCTGCTTAAATAAGATATGAGGGTCCTGAAAAATTATTTTCTTAAAATTCCTTTGAGACTTTCTGGTATCTTTTCAGACCATATTGGTACCTTGATTATCCACCATATGCCTGGGTGCAGGTGCCGCTCATTCAAGAACTTTAATTGGTGGATTATCAAGATTAATACAAAATGGAAGTTTTTTCTTTATATAAAAAATGTGCATGTAAGTATATCTGTTCTGTGTTATTTTAAGAAATATATGGATTTTGTAGTTCTAATTGGACCTTTTCCTTTTGGAAAAATAAGATCATTGGTCAGTTGTCATCACTCAAAATTCTAGCAATAGAATTATTGAATACAGGTACAATGACTATTTAATTGTGCGTGTGCTGCTTTACAGCCAATTTCATGGCACTATCCATTGGTATGCCTTTCCCCTGTGTGTGTCTCTCCCTCCCTTTCCAACTCCCTCCCACTCCCCTTCCATGATGTCTGAACCCCACACTCTATCTCTTACCACTGGGATATAATTGTGCTTAGCTGACCAAGACTGCAAAAACAGCACCAGTGACTTCATATCAAAAAGGTTCAACCACCATCTACAAAACAATCCAGCACACTCAACCCTTCTGCTCCCTGATGTTCTGAGTCTTCTACTGTGGATATTTGAGGTTCCCTCTATAAATAGTTCTCAGACTATGTTAGCTGTAAGAGATGCTTTTTTGTGAGGGACTGTTTCTTCCCTAGCAGATTAATTCTAGAAAATGTTACGCTAAGTGAAGTTGAGCCGATGGGGACTTTGTTTATGTAGAACAGTTGTCATTCCAGCAGCCAAATTAATTGGAAGTTAAAGATCCCAATCAATCTTTTCATTTGAGAAAAGTCAACAAATAAGTAAAGTAATATCTAATAACTTAAAGCTGACCTAAAAATGAACACTAACAGTTAAACTAGATTTGTAAACCCGTTCCAAGAAATAACACCTGGTGTTATTTTGCCTATGAGGCTTTCATATGTCGTCCAGACTGTTGGAATGAAAATCTGCTTAAGAGTCCTATAAAAGATTCGATTGCAGCGGTAACAACCCTGTCTTTGGGCATATAAATTCATTACCTAAAAATAATTTTGCTACGACACTGTCAGTTTAAGTGAGGATAATACTTGGTTTTGGAGATGAGTATGACACAAATTAGGTTTAGAAATGATTCTAGATGTAGGTTATTCGTAACCTAGAGGTGCTTGATGAGGAAAGTAGAAGGGATTTTTGAACGTTTCCCTGTGTGAGGGGCGCTATATAAATGCAAGTTGTTGATCAGTATAATAGCTCTGCTGGCAGGGCCTGGAACATTTTATTATTAATCTCAAGCTGCTATGGCACCTCAACACACATGCTAACACCTCACTCCGATCAATGCTAAACTAAGCAATAACCTTAACGTCCAAACAAAACATTTCACCACTTAAATCTTGCTGCACTTAAAGTTTCAAATCTTTAATTGTACTTATCAACTACAGCAAACACTTTCAAATTAATAGAATTTGAATCAAAAAAAGCCCTAACTCTAGTGAGAGGTTAATATATGAGTGACCTCGACTTGGATATAGGTGGGGGTACAACAAATTACATTTATTTAGCTCCTTTCAGGTCGGAAGGATGTAATGTCCCAAGGATGGCACAAGGCGCTGAACTGACAATGATTTGCACATTTGGGAGTGCAGGTACATAGGCCATAGGTATATAGGTCATTGAGAATGGCATCACAAGTGATGAAGGTTGTAAAGAAGTCTAATTGTCTGCTGGGTTTTATACACAAAAGCATAGAGTACAACAATAATGAAAGTATGTTTAATAAATCATTCATTATGCCACAACTGGAGTATTGGATTCAGTTTGGGGCACCTCACTTCAGGGAGGATGTTACAGCCTTGGAAGGAGTCCAGAGGAGGTTTACAAGAATGTTTCTGGGAGTGAAAGGCTGCAGTTATGAGTAGAATTGGAGAATCTGGCCCTGTTTTCATTGGAGCAAAGAAGGCTGAGGCAGGACCTGATTTAGCTTTACAAAACCATGAGCGGTTTTGTTAGATAAATAGGGAAAAATAATTTCCATTGTGTCATGATAGGAGACAAAGTTATGATAGCCACAAGAACTTGTGTAAGGAGAACCTAGAAGGAATTTTTCACCCAGAGACTAGTTGGAATGTTGAATGCCCTGCCAAGGAGGGTGGTGGAGATGAGTTCATTGTAACTTTCAAAACGGAAGTATAGCATATGAAAGAGAGGGGCTTGAATGGATTTGGGGATAAGATAGGACAGTGGGATTCAAGCGATCTCCTTGTTCTACGAGCTGGTGCAGGCTTGATAGGCCAAATGGCTGCCTCCTGTGCTGTAGGTTTCTATGTTAAGATATGTTCTTAGTCATATATATTTTAAATTTCAGGTTACAAGATGTCATTGATACCTTTTACCACGCAATTTGTTAAAACTCAAGGGTTGATACTTGGTAGATGGATCAGATGTTGGATTAAATTTATTTTGACAATACTGCCGATGTAAACTAAAGACTCAGTGTCTGTTACATTTCTAAAATTGTAATGTATAACATTTTAAATATGGTCTCAGTGCTTCAAATCTGAAAATAGTGGGAAGAGAATGTAAAATATTTACATAACTGACTGCAGATTGTGACCGGCCTCATTTCGTGTTCCAAGTTTATCGGTGAATTGACAAATAGCAGGTGATGGAGATGTAGAGAATCTCATAAAAATGCACAGTACAGGTAAACCAAAACTCTTTATTCTCCTACCATAATGTTTGTGTGCATTAATAAATGTAATCAGTTATCCTCCTGGAGAGGGAAAACATAGATAAGTGGAGTCTCCTTGGAATGGAATGTCAGAATCAATCCTCCTGTGGCAGTCTGGTTTCTGAGCCAAGTGAGACCACAATATGCCACAAACCTGGCTCATTGTAGGACTTGGAGGTGCATCTGATTTCAACTGGTGGAACTCCAACAAACAAGTCTTGGTTCTTGCTGATGTATGCCTAATACTCCATAATTAAATAAGCAGGGTGTGGCCTTCCGGGGGGAGAGTGTACATTCCATTCTAAACACAGGAATTTCCATGTGTAGGTAGCATTCATTGAACTCTTGTCTGGTTTGAATCCGATTAATCATTTTTATGGGTTTCCACA